TTTCACAGTACTCAGGGGGCCTGACAGACCCTGTTTTTCTGTGGGACACCTTCAAGTTTGAAATACTCGATGCAGCCCAAGAATCTATTGATGAATGCCCAACAGCAAAACAGAATTTCATCTCACAGAAGACACTGGAAGCCACAGATGCTTGACATGTGGCTTGATTGTCCAGGGATCGCAACTTGCATCATTCCCTGGTGCACAGGACTAGGTCACAGTTGAGAAGGGATAAGGAACAGTTTATCAGGAAGCTTGCAGAAGAGGTCAAAAGCCATTTCCTAGTAAATGACCTTTGTCCTGCCTACAAAACAGTGAAAAAGCTGAACTCCAAGCCCTCCTCATAGACGACTGCAGTCCACTCAGTAAGTGGCCAGATAATCTCAGATCCTGATGGGGTGCAGGTGCATTGGGATGAGTATTTTGAGCAGTTGTACCAGGTTGATTCACCAACAATTAACTTGTATGCAGGTAGCATTGAGATTCCTTTGAAAGATCCATCCACCAGTGAGGATCCACCCTCCCTGACTGAAGTTGGGGGGGGGGGGCATCTCCAAGCTCAAGAGTGGGTGGTAAAGGAGCAGGTGTCTGCGGCATCCCAGCTGAACTGTTAAAGGCTGATGGAGAACCTATGGCAAGTGGCTTGCATGTTGTCCAATCTGCCATCTGGCAGAGGGGTGTGGGACTGCAGCAATCACTGTGGCATTATACTACTCAGTATACTGGGCAAAGTTCTTGCTCACATTCTTCAGGGATGCATCAGAGACCATCTGCTGAGGCACCAGAGGCTGGAGCAATCTAGATTTATTCCTAGTAAGTTCACAATAGACAGTATCCTGGCACTATGAGTCATTGTAGAGCACTGTTGTGAGTTCAGACGTGGGCTGCTCACAACTTACATCAACCTCAAGAAGGTGTTTGATACCTTCTATTGCGTATCACTCTGGGAGATCCTGAGACTAAGAGGGATTCCAACAAGGATTATTGAATTAATAGCAAGCCTGTATACTGGCAATGAAAGTGTGGTGGGGGCCTGGCGAGGTTCTTGCCTGTTAGTTCAGGAGTGAGGCAAGGCTGTGTTCACAGAGTCATGAACTGCACTACCAAGGTATATAAAGCCCTCTGTCACCTTGATGTTGTCACCCCAAGCACGTACCGACTGAACAGGATCTCCTCGCAGACCAAAATCCTGGCTCTTGGTCTTGGTCCAGGGCATGGGCTTGGGTAGAGCTACTATCCAAAGTCACTGTGGAGCAACTCTGGTCTGGTCAAGATTACAGACCTTGACATTGCTGATGATGTGGCTCTTGTATCTGAATCTCTGGAAACCTTAGTGGTGGCTCTTGATGCATTTAGCAATGAAGCAAAGCCCCCTGGACCAAGACCAAGAGCCAGGATTTTGGTGGTCTGCTAGGAGATCCTGTTCAGTCGGTACATGCTTGCGGTGACAACATCAAGGTGACAGAGGGCTTTATATACCTTGGTAGTGCAGTTCATGACTCTGGGCTGTCAGACTAGGAAGTCAGTAGACAGATTGGCCTGGCAGCAGGGGTCATGAAATCTCTTGATAAGAGTATTTGGAGATGCTAGTACCTATCTTCAAGGCCCTAATACTGCCAGTTTTACTATACAGTAGTGAAACCCTGACGCTATCTTGTGCTTTGGAATCTCGTCTTGATGCCTTTTGTAACAGATCCTGGGGTACAGATTATGGGGTACAGTTGGCAGGACAATGTGTCCAACCAATGGTTGCACCGTGAGACTGGTACAGGACCTGTTACTTGCACAATCCACGATTGCCAACTCTGGCTGTACAGCCACCTAGCTCATTTCCCACAGGATGATCCTTCCCACCAGGTTGTCTCTCTTTGAGATAACCCTGGGTGGAGTTGTGGCTTGGGCAGATCGATCAAACCTGTTGTAAAGAGCTAGAGATGGGCCGAGCCCCTGCCTTGTGGCTCATTATGAGGGAACCTCGTAGGTGGAAGCAAAGGTTGGATGCGGCTATGTGCCCCTGCTGGCGTTATCTCCCGAATGATGATGATGATGATAAATGGAGAGAAAAAAAAAAAGTTACTGAAAACAAAATCATTATCTAAAAACATTATCTTTCTGTGACCAAATGACCAGAGCAGTGCCTCCATTTTAAAGTAAGAGTGAGGCTGGGCAGTAATAGATTTGCCAGCTGGGTCTGTCTCTGTAGTTAACCCAATATCGCTGGGAAAATGCATTTTAGATTTTTTTTTTTTGTAAAATGTCTCAGCACATAGATGCCAAAAAGTAAACCTTTAGAACCTTACATGATTTCATCTTTCCTTGAATTTGCAGCAAAAACATTTTATTGACTAATGCTATGAATACCAATGACATTTTTATTATAAACATGATAATTACTATAATGTTATTGACATTTGTAACTACAATATAAGATTAAATATTTTTGAAAATCATTGAAAAGGGTAAATAGATGAGACAGGTAGTACTCATAATTGGCTCATTGATGACTTAGTAGAAGTTGAGCAATCTATGTGGCATGTACATACGTGCCATGCCCGTCAGTTCTGGGTAAATGCACAAGCTTGAGAATCAAATGCAACTATTACAAGGCGTGAATGATCAGAACAGCAGTAGAAAGAAACACTGCCTATTTATTTTTGGAGGCTTTGTTGAAAGAGAGGGTAAGAGGCTGTTAGGAGAATCACAAAGAAATTATCCCACTTGGCTGGGCTAAAAAAGTACTTCAAAGACTTTGTCAAAGTGGAAGTAGTAGAAGGACAAGGGCAGGTGGAAGAGGAGTAGTGTGGTATTAGGAGAGATGGTATAAAATGAAAGAGACTGTACAGGAAGGGATGGGGGTGACGCCCTTAGCCATACCCGTCATGAGTTGGTCTTTCATGATGGCTATAGGCATGCCCAGCTAAAAGAGGTTAAAAGGAGAGGTGTGGGGGTTGAGAAACCAGAGAAGTCCATTTCAGTTTGACTAGTTGATGGAGAGGTAAGCCTTAATGCTCCTAATAAGGTCTGAAATACGTGATGAAGAGACATGGGAATATTGTGTACAAAACCAGCCTTTCATTCTTTCAGCACAGCTCTTACACCTTATGGAGTGGATAGGAGATGGGATTGGTAAAGCTAAGAAACAGGGGAGAAGAAAAAACTATGCAAAATTAGTTGAGCGGGGGCTGAGGTCTTAGGTAGGTGGGTGATCCCCAACTGTGCCTCACTCCCCATCTCCTACATCCCCACATCATAACAACAGGGATTGCAGGGGAAAATCAGGATTATATACAAAAATATTAGGTGTGCTACAAACCTTGCTATCAACCCTACTCATGGGATCCTTGCTTCCTGGCCACTGACTAAGTTCTAACAAGGACTCTAGGTCCTCTCGCAGGAGGTCATAGGTGGTCATAACTTTTACAGCATCTTGTACACCATCTTGCCCATGACGGATTAAGGGGTTGATCACAGTATTTCTCAGATGCCCACAATAGTCCATTCCAACATCTGATTTAGTACCGGAAACCCTGTGGTAAATAATGCCAATTAAAGTAATCTATTAACTGTTTCTGAAAATTGCAATCCTTTCTTTGATTATGTCATAATAAGCACCATTAGTTTTTTCTCTCTTTGTACTGATTTTTTCTTTCAGCTAACTTATTTACAAAATCATAAGTATTATATACTTAAGCCGCATGTGCATCTGAAGTTCTTGCATGATGCGATCAAATTTGTTACGACGACTGTTGTTGCCAAGCCATCGTGGGAATTCAATCTGTCCAGCTAAATGCCCAGACATATATTCTCCCGGCAAAACACTACTGAACATTGCCTAGAAAAGCAAGATAATTTTCTTAGTGTACCATTTTTGGGGGTAGCATAGTCATCTTCTATGCATGCAAACATGCATGATATAATAGTAAGTATCCATAACCTCCTAATTTATGAAACCTATTACTATTAAAAGTGGAATGCAATGTATGACGAATTCAAATGCGCATTCTAATCACTCAAGAAATACAGTACTATCCTATACAGTATATGAACACAAAGTATATATACTCACACACATATATATAATTTCAGTCTTTCTCCTATATTCCACTAATGCATTACTTTAAATTTAACAATTATTCATATTCAAATAAATAAATACACACGCACGCACACACCCACACGTACAAACACACACATATATAGATGAAATGATAGTATTTGGCATGTACATACGTGCCATGCCCGTCAGTTCTGGGTAAATGCACAAGCTTGAGAATCAAATGCAACTATTACAAGGCGTGAATGATCAGAACAGCAGTAGAAAGAAACACTGCCTATTTATTTTTGGAGGCTTTGTTGAAAGAGAGGGTAAGAGGCTGTTAGGAGAATCACAAAGAAATTATCCCACTTGGCTGGGCTAAAAAAGTACTTCAAAGACTTTGTCAAAGTGGAAGTAGTAGAAGGACAAGGGCAGGTGGAAGAGGAGTAGTGTGGTATTAGGAGAGATGGTATAAAATGAAAGAGACTGTACAGGAAGGGATGGGGGTGACGCCCTTAGCCATACCCGTCATGAGTTGGTCTTTCATGATGGCTATAGGCATGCCCAGCTAAAAGAGGTTAAAAGGAGAGGTGTGGGGGTTGAGAAACCAGAGAAGTCCATTTCAGTTTGACTAGTTGATGGAGAGGTAAGCCTTAATGCTCCTAATAAGGTCTGAAATACGTGATGAAGAGACATGGGAATATTGTGTACAAAACCAGCCTTTCATTCTTTCAGCACAGCTCTTACACCTTATGGAGTGGATAGGAGATGGGATTGGTAAAGCTAAGAAACAGGGGAGAAGAAAAAACTATGCAAAATTAGTTGAGCGGGGGCTGAGGTCTTAGGTAGGTGGGTGATCCCCAACTGTGCCTCACTCCCCATCTCCTACATCCCCACATCATAACAACAGGGATTGCAGGGGAAAATCAGGATTATATACAAAAATATTAGGTGTGCTACAAACCTTGCTATCAACCCTACTCATGGGATCCTTGCTTCCTGGCCACTGACTAAGTTCTAACAAGGACTCTAGGTCCTCTCGCAGGAGGTCATAGGTGGTCATAACTTTTACAGCATCTTGTACACCATCTTGCCCATGACGGATTAAGGGGTTGATCACAGTATTTCTCAGATGCCCACAATAGTCCATTCCAACATCTGATTTAGTACCGGAAACCCTGTGGTAAATAATGCCAATTAAAGTAATCTATTAACTGTTTCTGAAAATTGCAATCCTTTCTTTGATTATGTCATAATAAGCACCATTAGTTTTTTCTCTCTTTGTACTGATTTTTTCTTTCAGCTAACTTATTTACAAAATCATAAGTATTATATACTTAAGCCGCATGTGCATCTGAAGTTCTTGCATGATGCGATCAAATTTGTTACGACGACTGTTGTTGCCAAGCCATCGTGGGAATTCAATCTGTCCAGCTAAATGCCCAGACATATATTCTCCCGGCAAAACACTACTGAACATTGCCTAGAAAAGCAAGATAATTTTCTTAGTGTACCATTTTTGGGGGTAGCATAGTCATCTTCTATGCATGCAAACATGCATGATATAATAGTAAGTATCCATAACCTCCTAATTTATGAAACCTATTACTATTAAAAGTGGAATGCAATGTATGACGAATTCAAATGCGCATTCTAATCACTCAAGAAATACAGTACTATCCTATACAGTATATGAACACAAAGTATATATACTCACACACATATATATAATTTCAGTCTTTCTCCTATATTCCACTAATGCATTACTTTAAATTTAACAATTATTCATATTCAAATAAATAAATACACACGCACGCACACACCCACACGTACAAACACACACATATATAGATGAAATGATAGTTATTTTAATTTTTTTCTCCTCCCAAACTATATGTATGTACTAACTAAACTATATGTATATACTGTTAAGCAATTTCTGTGTTCTCTTTCTTTCTTTTTCCTTTTAAGAAAAATTCAATATTTGCTATCTTACCTGAGTAGGAAGGAGAGACCATGCATTTTTTAGACCTTATGGCTTTCTCTACTAAGTCTCCATCTGCAAGACTGCTTGCAGTTTTAGCAAGTGTTCCAAAGGTGTGCGGGCGATTACCCCTTTTGGAAGAGAATGATGTTATTAATTAGAACTGGCCAAAATACCTAAATGCTTCAATTTACATTTACTATACTTCTTTGAAGAACAGGTCAGACTTATCATAGAGACTCATTGTTTTGTGGTCAGCCTCAGAAAATACTTTCTTACAAACATCCCATGGACCCTGCAGAAGGAACATCAACAATCAATATATGCTTTTACCTTCATCACATTCCTCTCCTTTCATTTTATTTCAATACTCCAAAAATAATAAATACAACCAAACCTCAAAAGAAAGCACAAAATATACCATTTTCATGTCTTTCTTAGCTTTTTCTGCTTCTCGTTTCATATCATCAACCTGCAGATTTTTTTCATTGGCTGACCACATAGAAAGATGGTGAAGGATCTGCCTTATGTCCTGGTTTGATCCAATTATTATCTGATCAAGGGCATCAGGTTTAATCTGGATACCTTCACGGAAGCATATAGACATCATTGGCCCCTGAAATCAGTAATAATAATTACAACCTCTGGGGAAAATACTGAACTCATTTTTTAATTTTTTTCTCCTCCCAAACTATATGTATGTACTAACTAAACTATATGTATATACTGTTAAGCAATTTCTGTGTTCTCTTTCTTTCTTTTTCCTTTTAAGAAAAATTCAATATTTGCTATCTTACCTGAGTAGGAAGGAGAGACCATGCATTTTTAGACCTTATGGCTTTCTCTACTAAGTCTCCATCTGCAAGACTGCTTGCAGTTTTAGCAAGTTGTTCCAAAGTGGTGCGGCGATTACCCCTTTTGGAAGAGAATGATGTTATTAATTAGAACTGGCCAAAATACCTAAATGCTTCAATTTACATTTACTCAACTTTTTATCATTATTTACTTCTGTCAAATCAAGACACAGGTTCTCTAAAATTGAAATGTTAACACACCTGGCAACATGTGGAACAGCTTTTGGATAATTCTCTTGAACAAAAAGGGGTGCAATGGAATAATCATGGAAGAACAGGTCAGACTTATCATAGAGACTCATTGTTTTGTGGTCAGCCTCAGAAAATACTTTCTTACAAACATCCCATGGACCCTGCAGAAGGAACATCAACAATCAATATATGCTTTTACCTTCATCACATTCCTCTCCTTTCATTTTATTTCAATACTCCAAAAATAATAAATACAACCAAACCTCAAAAGAAAGCACAAAATATACCATTTTCATGTCTTTCTTAGCTTTTTCTGCTTCTCGTTTCATATCATCAACCTGCAGATTTTTTTCATTGGCTGACCACATAGAAAGATGGTGAAGGATCTGCCTTATGTCCTGGTTTGATCCAATTATTATCTGATCAAGGGCATCAGGTTTAATCTGGATACCTTCACGGAAGCATATAGACATCATTGGCCCCTGAAATCAGTAATAATAATTACAACTCTGGGGAAAATACTGTACTCATTTTTTATATTTTTTGTGAGATGGCTCTGCTAGCCTTACCTGATTTCACCTTTCTTGAATTGGCAGGTAAAACGTATTTTTTACTAGTGCTATGAATATTGATGGTGTTATTTTTATTATAAACATTAGTAACAGCATAAAAAGATAACGTAAAATATTTTCGTAAATCAAAGAAAAGAATAAACGGGCGAGAGAGGCAGTACTCGTAACTGGCTCATTGGTGACTTATTACAAGTGTAGCCATCTATGTGTAAAAACAATCAAACAAATAACTCACAGTGGGCATGGCACATACGTACATGCCATGCCCGTCGGCATTGGGTTAAATTCATTATCATCAAATTTTAAAGAGGCTTTCCTATTGAAGACAGGGCTAAAACACCAACTTGCTTGCAAAATATTAATACTGAAAGCATAGGAACAAGCTTACCCTAATTTGTTCAATCCTTGGTTTGTAGAATCTGAGGTCAAAACAATGGTTGGCTAATGAACGAATTTTAGGGTGATTCCTATCATTACACATTGTTATAATTGGTATTTTTGATTTCTTTATGAGAGTGATCAGCTCCTGCACTCCACCTCTGTCTTCATTGCCAGACATGCCGTCCACCTCATCCATCACTAAAGCATGTTTGGCACTGGTATTGCTTTGGCCTTTGCCTGTGAACAAAAGAATGAAAAGAGATATGATAAAATAAAACATAATAGTTATTAATCAAATTTAGCTTGTGCAACAAATCATACAAATACATATTAGACAGCAAAATAATCCTACTATATAAATTCATAAAGAAATTAGTCATGTCTTTCCTTTCTCTGGTTGAGATAACACAATCCTACCAGAACATTTTCATGCATCTTTCCCTCTCTATAATGTTATTCCAATTTCACTTATGCAGTCAATATGTGCAGAAGAAATAGACTAAGGCAAGAGCCTGAAATGCATCATCATTCATAACATATTTTATAAAATCATACTTACTTTTAGTGAAACCAGCTAAAGTTTTGTTTGAAAGAAGCTCAGAAACAACTTCATCCAAAGTGCGCTTAGAGCGAGCATCTGATGCATTGAGCTCAATAAAGTCAAAACCTGCTTCTTTGCAGACCATGTGTGCTGTTGTTGTTTTACCTAGGTAAAGAAAATATACTTTAATTTTATAAACATGCTGAAATTCTAGAGCTAAAAATCTTATCAACCTACTGTAACTCCAAAACAGAGCACTAATCTTGCAAGTACTCCCTCTTATTATTCATTAAGCAAATCCATGCAGGCCATATTCTGATACATAAAAGCCTACTCACCAACTCCTGGAGGGCCTGATAAAAGGGCAGCTTTGAAAAAAGCACCATTATCATCTTTAGCCCAAGGACCTGCAAGAAAAAATGCCTACTAAAGTATATTCTCCTGTGTAATCTGATTTACTTACAAGTAATTTTGAGACACAAAATGTAAAATAAAGCATTATTTTTCTATAGGGAATAGTGCTCTTTTTTTCAGAAAAAACTTACTTGGTCTTTGTAGTTTCTTGTCCCCAAACTGGTTTTTATGCCAATTTTGTAGCCAAAAAAGTAATTTCTTCACATTGGACTTTTCTGACTGCTGTCCAATAATGTTCTTAAGACTAGCAGGTTTATATTTGTCCACCCACATGAGTGTCTCCCCAGATTTCCCACTCAGCTCTTGAGAAGATAATGGTTGAGTCTTTGGGGATGAGCTAGTAGAGGATGGACTGCAACTTGCCTGATGATTTTAATAAATCAATAATGACAGAAGGCATTTACTTAACATATCTGTACATAGTAGGAACAAAAACGACAAAAGAATGGACAACAATCAAGGTTGATTATGCTATGCTTTCTTTAAGCTTTATACTTTCTACTGACTAGTTTAACTCAATGGCTGTGAGGTTATGCACTGTCCACTGCAGTCTTTTATAAATTTTGTTTCACATAATGGCCCTCAGGTACTCATCCACCAAGGAGTGAATTAGTAAGCTCTAATAACCACACCCAATTTCCCTATTCCTTGTCTTGTATGTTTTTTTTTTAATGCTAATAATAAAATGCTGATTCAATTAATATTAATACTGTTATTATTGTTATTGACATTATGATAAGCATAATGTCATTCAAATACTAATAATAATGGTAATAAACTAGTATAAAAGAATCTTTCCAGAAATAAAAGAAAAATATGAACAAATGAGATATTCCCTGGTGACTAAGAACTTGTATAGCCATCTCTGAGTAAATACAATTATTAACCGAAAATAACACTGGGCACAGCATGAAATCATTTCTTCTTGTGATTTCATCTCTGTTTACAGTATCCAGGTAACCTACATAATGAAATTAATATTAAAAGGAGGAAATATTCTATTTCTAGCTGGTAAATTTAATTCTTATTCCTGGTAACTGATTACCATGAAAATTTTATACTATAATAAACATTAAATTCAACCTCTTATTTCAAGCTGAAAGAAATGGGAAAATCTAACAAATCTCAAAAATTGTAAATTAATTTACCTGTGATCTAGGGGTGTTCTGAGAGAAAGGCCTTCCTGGACTGGGTGTTTTAGATGCACTTGCTGCAGATTTAGAAGTTGGGTTCTTTGACACTGGACTGCTCACCAAAGATTTCTCAAGGGTACTTCCTTTACTTTCTTTTGCAAATGCTTTAAGTTTGCTAGGTGTTCCTTGTAATAGAAGAGACAGTTTTAGTCAAAAGGAAATACATCTTAGTAAGCTGGTCATAAATTTGGATGGTCCAATTCAAATATTTTAACATATTTACAATCTTGAGCAGATAGGTGTCATACCTTCCTTGGAAGTTTTCTCATTAGATCCTTTTCCTGGGCGTGTCCGAATAAGGTCTAATAATCCATCTTCATCCAAGCGTTTTGTGCCTAATTGTTCTGCCTAAAAAAGAAAAATTTATTTTTTACTCAGCATTTTCAATTTGTAAAAAAGACTTGATGAAATTATGTCAACTAATTTGTACTCCCAGATAAATGGAGTATTTGATTAATTCTAAGCTTTACTGTATAGAGATATTTTTTAAAGTATATTCTGTGAATAAATCTTTACTCGGGTGTCCTAGTCAATCATGAATCTATCTTGTAGATCATCTACTACTGACTTCTCCAATTCAAATCTGAACAAAATGTAAACCTTACCTTTTTTATTTTGCTTTCCCCAGCTTCATTACCCAAGACAAGATAGGATGTATTGCGGCTGATAGACGTTGTGACTTTGCCACCATGTCTCTTAATTAACTCTGAGGCTTCCTCCCTATCCAGGCTTTCATATACACCACTAAGCACAAACACAAGGCCTTGCAGACAGTCTGGCTCCCCCTGCAACAAGGTACATTTTACAGATATTGGAAAGATTTCTTTACGTATGAACTAAGAGCAGGTTTAAGTATAAAACTAAGACTTCAATTAAAACTGCTAAAGTAGACAAATGCATTTCAAGTATAATATTTCATTAATACACTGAAGAGTAGACAGTTTCCTCATTACAAATTACACAATGCTCAAGAAATACATCAAGGTATCACCTCTGGAATCTCTTTGCTGCCTGGATTACTGGGCCCAGATCTCTGCAAAAACTTGAGATAAGCTGCCTTTGAATTTTTCTTCTTTTCCTCTGTCTGGGGGGTGGATCCAACTTCTTCACTTTCACTTGTCTCACTCTTTTTAGGGGTTTTCCTTTTCACTTCTGATAATGCTTCTGTGTCTGATGGATTGCCTTTCTCTTTTTTAGGTGTAATTTTTTCCTTCTTGGGACTTTTCTCCTTTTTCTCTGTAATTACATTCTTGTCCTTCTCAGGAGTTCTTTTTTCCTTCTTGACATTTGGAGATTGTATATCTTCATGCTTTTCAGCTTTGTATTTATTTTTCTTTTCATGGCTATGCAATTTTTCCTTATCTTTTTGTCCGCCATCTTTTTGTGGTGTTGTTTTCTCATCCTTTATTGTTTTTATGTCAGTGCTCTCTTTTAGTTTAGCAAACAATTTACTTGCTAGACCTCCCTTTGAACTGTCCTTATTTGGAGGGCTATTTTCATTTGGCTTTGGCTTTGTCTCATTCCCTGAGGGAGACTTGGTCTCCTGTTTTGGTCTCTTGGATGCATGCTGCTGCTGCCTGTCAAGCTGCTCCAGAGTTTTCTCAAAGTCATCATCACTGCTATCCTCTACATTGCTGTCTCTGCTCTGAAACATTCAGTTAAAATTGAAAATGGAATTCTAAAATCAAAGATCACTAATGGTGGCAACACTACAAGAATTAAAGTTAAGTAACATTAATGAAAGCTGGAATTCTATTTTTTTTTTAACCTTAGTGGTACTATATATAATGTATCACATCATCAGCTATTGCTGCTGCTAGAGTGCATCTTTAATACATCTCTAACTAAAATAATCTAAACTAAAATAATTTGATCATTAGACTTTTGGCATTCAAAACAGTAGATTAGGATATAACATAACTCTTAAAAAAACAGATATGATATTTAACATACTTTTTTTCTTTTTAATGATGGTTTCCTGTCCTCTTTTCTGATCAATGGTGAAGTTCCAAAAAAATCTGAAGGAGCCACAGGTTTTAATTTTGGTGTGGTTGGTTTGGGTAATGCTGCTGGCTCTTCTTTCTTGATATGTTTTTTACTTTTAGTCTCACAGAAGATATCATCATCTGTAAATTATTAAAAGTTCATAATTCAAAGTAAAAAATCTAAACTGTGTATCTTTCATATCCACACCTTTGATATCTTTGGAATAGTACAGTAATCTTCCACTATATTCCAATCCAAGGGCATTATTACCATTTCCCCTCCTAAAAAATCCTATTCCTGTGGCAAAAAATCTGAGAAATACAATCAAATATTAAGAAATAAAAAAG